TATAACTATTATTACTTCATTTTATGCATAATATTCTAAGTTTAACTAAATTTAAATTAGTTTTTATTATAGCATTTCATTACATCATCCTTTATCCTTCCAATAGTAGTGCAGTCTTATATCGCCTGCCATTTGTAGTATTTGTGTTCTAATTGCTTTCTTGGTAGATCTTATATGGACATCTCTTGTTTTCCATTGCATATCTTGTAAAGACTTGTGACCCCTTGTCTGTTCCTTCCATCAACTTCCCTTTGGTCATCACTGATGCTTTGCCAAAATTTCTATCATTACTTCTGCCAAATTTTCTCCCTTTTCTTCTATATTCTGGAAACAGAAGTAAAATTCTAATCTGTCAATCTCCCATTCCAATATTCCACTCTTGTCTTTTCCATCCACGCTCAATCTGCTGTCAATATCACCTCTTTTCTTATCTTTTTGTTCACCTTTTTCTTCAATTTTTTGAAATCTGTCCTCATATTTCATCATCATTTGATAAGTATTCTCAATTTTTTCATCTATTTTTTCTGTTCTTTGTTCAATATTCTCCATTCTCTTTTTAATGCTCTCTGTTCTTACTTGTATTTTTTGAATTTCTTGCATAATCATCTGTAATGCCATTTTCTTTTCTTTTCCATGCTGGAACATTCCTCCAGATAGTAAACCCTGCCACTATATAGAATAAAGCTTTTTTGTTAAATTCCAAACCAATTCACTGCAATCTTCTCTCTTTCAAGTCAAGGCTTTCTTTTCACTCGAGTCCAGCTACTGATAGTATCTTAGAGGAGTACCTGTATAAACAATCCGTGCTCCTCCCATTATCATTTTCAATAAACAAACGCAAAGACCTTGAAATGTAGATCAAATGTTCAAAGAAAGAAAAGAAAAACAATGTTTCCAAGCCTCCAAGCATCTAAGTGGCAGTTACTTCTTTTCTTCTACTTTTACTCCCCTCTTTATATTCCAAGCTTAAGGAGAAAAAGAAAAGTACTTAAAGAGAAAATGTGATAGAGCATTGAAAAAAGAAAAAGAAAGTCTTAATCGATAGGTATTTAAAAAGGAAAAATAGAAGAAGAAAAAAGAAAACCAGTCCAGTTTAAAAAGTAAGAAGCGTTTGTAAAAATTCCATCAATAAAAAGATTAAAAAGAAAAAAAATAACACACTAAGTTTGACTCAGGCTTAATCTTGCCGCTTAATCTCTTCTGTCTTCAATTTTAACTTTACTTTTGATCTTTTTGGGTGTTCTCTTTTCTAATAATAAAATTTATCTCACCAATTTGACACATTTTCTCTCCCGCTTTGCTTCTGTTCTGGAGCTGTCCCAACTTTCAGCAGCTTCAATGGCTGCTTCTCTGTGACCGGAAAAAAGGCTTCTCCTGGATCTACTGGGGACTTTGCAGTGTCCCTGGGATCGACAGGATGTGCCCTTCTCTATCACCGTCTCTATGGGATGGTTTAGGTCCAAATGGACCATCCAGCAGCAGAGATATTGACTGCGATCCTGGAGCTCCAAGATGCACATTGTATCGTCGCGACGTCAATCCCGCCTCCGTCTAATTGCATTCTTTACGTGCTTTCAAATTGCAGGTTGGCAGAAGCTGGGACAAGTAACGGGAGCTCACTCCGTTACATGGCACTAGGGATTCAAACCACTGAACTGCCAAGCTCAGCATCTTAGCCACTGAGCCACAATGTCCCTATCAACGTATAATAACAGCATAATAATGTTGACATTCTTACTTCCCGGCATATCATCAGCCAGTCAGTTTGATCTAGTGGTTAAGGCACCAGGCTAGAAAATGGGGAGTCTATGAGTTTTAGTCCCACCTTAGCCATGAAAGCTGGCTGGGTGACTTTGACCCAATCACCAGAAGAGAGAGACTTCTAGTCCGGCCTTAACCATGAAAACCAGCTGGGTGACTTTGGGCTAATGACCAGAAGATGGTGAGTTCTAGTCCTGCTTTAGACATGAAAGCCAACTGGGTGATTTTGGGTCAATCATCAGACCCATACTCCCACCTTAAACGTCAAGGTTAACTGGGTGACTTTGAGCAAATCACCAGGAGACTGGGAGCACTAGTTCTGCCTTAGCCATGAAAACCATCTGGGTGACTTTGAGCCAATTACCAGGAGACAGTGAGTTCTAGTCACGCCTTAGCCATGAAAGTGTGATGTTAGGATAGTCCCTCTCTCTCTCATCATAGGGTTGTGGGGAAAATAGGATGAAGGCGTGTTGGATATGTTTGCCACCCTGAGTTATTCGTATAAATAATAACAGCAGGATGCATGTCAATAAAACTAAGTAAATAAATAAACAGATCCTACCTCATTTTCTTTAGATTCATTCTCCTCAGCGGAAACATGAAAGAATTCCAAATAATTCAAGGCATACTTTTCAATGGGGGTGAGCTGAAAAAAAAGCAAAGCGAAGCCATAGCTTAAAATATTAAAATATTAATGGGCAACAGATTAATGATCTTTGGAGCGGGCAACCAAATGCCAATAGGTGAAGGTTCCCCTTGCACATCTGTGCTAGTTGTTCCCGACTCTAGGGGGCAGTGCTCATCTCCGTTTCAAAGTTGAAGAGCCAACCCTGTCCGAAGACGTCTCCGTGGTCATGTGGCCAGCATGACTCAATGCCGAAGGGGCACGGAACGCTGTTCTCTTCCCACCAAAGGTGGTCCCTATTTTTCTACTTGCATTTTTATGTGCTTTCAAACTGCTAGGTTGGCAGAAACTGGGACAAGTAGCGGGAGTTCACTCCATTACACGGCACTAGGGATTCGACTCACCAAACTGCGGACCTTTCTGATTGACAGACTCAGCGTCTTAGTCACTGAGCCACCGCATTCCTTGTGCCAATATAGAACCATGCTTGGTTTGCACTAATTTGGTGTCACTTGATAAATACAGCCACACTCTGTTTATTAAATTGGGAACACAATCTCTCTCTTAGTTTCAAATGGGACATAACTCTTTTAAAAAGCAAAAGAATGGACAATTTGGATAGCCAACTAAATGTCTATGGAGATTCTCCATCATCCAGGTCATGGTTGTCCCAAAGAGGCTTTTTTTTTCAAGAGGCAATTGACCTTCTGATTTTTCTTTGAAGACGTTTGGCTTCTCATCCAAGAAGCTACTTCAGCTTCTTCAGCTTCTTCTGAAGCCTCTACATCAGAGCTGAAGAAGCTTCTTGGATGAGAAGCGAAACAACTTCAAAGAAAAACCAGAAAGTCCAGTTGCCTCTTGAAAAAGCACCTTTGGGTAGAGCTAACTCAATCTTAAAAGAAGCATATATATTTTTCTTAGTCAGAGCAAAATGGCTTGCTGGGAAGAATCAGATACATTAATTATTATTATTTTTTAAGCGAGCAAGACATAAAAATGGAGAGCCACTTTAGTATAGGGATTGAAGCCCCAAGCTAGAAACTGGGACTGTGGAATTCTAGTTCTGTCTTTGGCCTGAAGCCAGCTTGGGGGGGGGGGGGGATCTTAGCCCAGTCCCTCTTCTAATCTTTAGAAGAAGTTAGCAAAGGAAACTGAGAAATCATGCCAACAAAACTTCAAGGGCTGGTCCAGGTAGAATAGGAATGCTGCTTCACAGTGCTTTTACAGCCCCCAAGGGGTTTTACAAGATTCAAATAAATGAGCTGGAAGGGGCCTTGGAGGTCTTCCAGTCCATCCCCCTACTCAAGGTGGAGAACCTATAAAGATTTCAGGCAAGTGACTGTCCAGTCTCTTCCTAAAAACCTCCAGTGATGAAGTCCTTACAACTTCTGGTGGCAAGCTGTTCCACTGGTTAATCGTCCTCACTGTCAGAAAGTTTCTCCTTAATACCAGGTTACTTCTCTCTTTGATTAGTTTCCAAGCCTTGTTTCCTGCCTTCTAGTGCTTTGGAGAATAATTATACACCCTCTCTTTTATGGGGGACCCTCAAATACTGGAAGACTGCTATCATGGTCCCCCTAGTCCTTCTTTTCTCTAGACTAACCAAACCCAAATCCTGCAGCCCGTTCATCCTATGTTTTCATCTCCAGGCCTTTGATTATCTTAGTTGCTCTTCTCTACACTTTTCCCAAAATGGTTGCAGTATTTCAAGTGTAGTCTTAGTGAGTTTTATAGTCAGCCTATTGCCCTCAACAATAGTCCTCATTTTATCGACCACGGAAAGAAGGAAGGAAGGCTGAGTCAACCTTGAGCCTGGTGAGAATCGAACTGCAGTCAGCCAGCAGTCAGCAGAAGTAGCCTGCAGTATGCCTTCTAACCACCGTGCCACCACTGGAAGTCAGGACTCCCCTCACTAATTGAAAAGCACACGCACGGACATCAAAAGAACATGCTTCTCGGATCTGAAATGCAGATGGAAACCAAGAGCACCTGATCGACCACGGCCACCAGTTCCTGCAGCAGAGAAGGTTGCTCAAGATATTGTGCCTTCCCGAGTTCTGAAACCAGAGGTCTCAACGCCGACTCGCTCTCTCCATCCCGGACACGCGAATTCCACTCCTCGTTCTCCTCGTCCTCTTCCATCTCCTCTTCCTCCTCCTTCTCCTCTTCCTCTCGTTCGGTACTTTTCAGAGCCTTTAAGAAAACGCAAAGCATCTTTGTGTACCCCTTTGTACAACTCAACTCTCAACCAGCAAATCCAAAGCGCAAATGCTCCACACTTTCTTGCCTCCTTTGAAAAGCTCTGCCCTTCCTTACCTCTATGAAAGGCCTGGCCACTTTGGGGGAGATGGTTTCGGATGGAGACGGCTCTTGTGACAGCATGACGAATTCTTCGGCTTTCACCCGGAAGCCCGAATCCTCCATTGGTGAGTGAACTTCAAAAAGTTCCTGAATTGTTTGCTGCAGAGAGAAGGGAAGAGAAGGGAAGACTTATTCCATCTTCACCTCCCTCGTTTACTTACTTTGGTTCTCAGGTAGTTTCCCCTGTCGTGTCCGAGTCTAGGGGGTGGGCCTCATCTTCGTTCCCTGGCCAAGGGAGCCAACGTTGTCTGAAGGCATTTTCTGTGGTCACGTGGCCAGCATGGAACATAGTTTCATGTTCTTTCCTAAGTCCTTAATCAGGATTTCCTGCCTAAGCAGGGGGTTGGACTAGAAGACCTCCAAGGTCCCTTCCAACTGCGCTATTCTATTCTATTCTATTATCTAGTCTGGTGTAGTCTAGTCTAGTCTATTCATTTTCTATATTCTGTTCTGTTCTATTCTATATTTCTTGTTCTGTTTTATTATATTATACTTTCTATTCTTTATTCTATTTTCTATTTTCTCCTTTCTTCTTTCCTCATTCTATTCTATTCTATTCTGTATTTCTTGTTCTGTTCTATTCTCAACTATTTTCTACTCTTTATTCTATTCTATTTTCTCCTTCCTTCTTTCCTCCTCCTCATTCTATTCCATTCCACTCTATTCTCTAGTCTGGTGTAGTCTAGTCTAGTCTATTCATTTTCTATATTCTGTTCTGTTCTATTATATTATATTTTCTATTCTTTATTCTATTTGCTCCTTTCTTCTTTCCTCATTCTATTCTATTCTATATTTCTTGTTCTGTTCTATTCTCAACTATTTTCTACTCTTTATTCTATTTTCTCCTTCCTCCCTCCCTCCTCCTTATTCTATTCTATTTTATTCTATTCTCTAGTCTGGTCTGGTCTAGTCTAGTCTATTCATTTTCTATATTCTGTTCTGTTCTATTATATTATATTTTCTATTCTTTATTCTATTTGCTCCTTTCTTCTTTCCTCATTCTATTCTATTCTATATTTCTTGTTCTGTTCTATTCTCAACTATTTTCTACTCTTTATTCTATTTTCTCCTTCCTCCCTCCCTCCTCCTTATTCTATTCTATTTTATTCTATTCTCTAGTCTGGTCTGGTCTAGTCTAGTCCAGTGTTTTTCAACCTTTTTTGTGCCAAGGCACACTTTTTTCATGAAAAAA